GAAAATCCTGCAAGTTAACATTTAGCTGCATCAGGGTCCTGTATTCAATGAGATACAGAGAGTATCCAAGAAGATATTTAGTATTCCCCTCCTCCTCTCTAAGCACAATTTAAACCTTGGGTAGTAGAAGAGAAGCTGTTACATGGATTCAGGCCACACCATACAGAGCTTTCTTTCCCAGAGCAACACAGATATACCACAACTTAATCCCATTTGTCACATTAGGTAAACAGGCAGTTGTTCACATGGAGAAAATTCAGTAGCAGGACCCTCAGTATCTGAACTAAAGTCTTCTATGTATTTAATAACCTGGGAAGAGGGTGAATAATGATGTAGCAGGTTTTTAGATTTCACAGGTTAGCTGAGGTTACAAGAAAGATGTGGGGACTTCAAAAGAGAATAAATGTTGCTGGACGAGCACATAATGTAGCAGCCTATGGTTTTTTTCTGATGGAAAAAGATAAAAAAGTAATGCATCCTGTTGGATATAAATTTCACTGCACACATCCCAGGTATGAGATGCCGCTGGAGAGGAAAAAAAAATCCCATCTCTGAGTTTATGATGTAGATGGTACAAGCAGGGTGAGAGTTTCCATTCACTTACACCCTAGCAGAATAATAAAATGTAGTGGTTGCTTAGCACAAGCAGAAACATCATGCATTTAAAACTAACATGCATAAACAATAATTTATGAAGGTAATGCAACGGCCATCTGGAACTCGGTGCAGTCAAGATGCATCCAAGCCCATGCCTTGACATGAGCTTTAAAATCCCTGACCATTTCTAGACATCTGAATGTCATATCAAAGGCTAAACTGCCCTGCTTCACCCCTCTACAGAGAAATAAACATCCAAGTCTGCCCAAGTGCTCAGCACATCTCTGTCACCACATGACAATGAAGGTAATTATCAATAATAACAATAATGTGGATGTAAAGCTTCTCTGGTAGCTGGGGCTGCATCCAACACCAGCCTCCCTGGAAGCTGGGTCAGCCCCCAGCGTTACAGCACTGCCTGAAACCCAAAGGAAGGGAGAAGCCTCCACCTGGAGTCACAGATGGGTCTATTGGTCGCTTGTTGGCTACACTCTGGCAACTTGTTGGCAGCTGTGAACCTTTTGCATTACAACCAAGAAGGTTTAATATCTTCTGTCATGTCCACTCAGAGCAGCTGATGAGATTCTCTTGTGTTCCTTCACCGGTCCTGGTAGATAAAGAGCAGCCCTCTCTTTCCTGCCCATAAACACTAGACATGATGTAAACCCACCACTGCTTGTCCCAAAGTGCTCAGGGTTGAGCAGAGAGACTCCATCTGTTGTCAGAAGCTCCATTATGTGTAAGATACCTGATGCCCTATCACACCAGTATTTTTAATTAATCAGATGTTTCTCCACTGAGATTAAACTCTATGTACATTTCTCATTTACTCTACCCAGTACATGCTTATTAATTAGCATACTAATTTGCCTAGTTCTTTAGGAACTATGTGCCAGAAAAAATGCTGTTCTAAGTTGTCAAATGCAACTCATCGATTAGTGTAAGACACTTAAGAAAGACTAATAGATAAATATATCAGAGCCCTGATTAACAGGTGAAAAATCCAGCATGCTGCATTCTGCCATCCCTTTATAATAAGATTCTTGAACTAACTTACAACTTGACTTTTCCTTCTTTTAATTAAGAAAACCACAAGTAGTTGTGGAGGGTGTCGGTTCAATTTTCTCGTTATGCTTGAAGTGAAATCTACTTCATTTACCTTATTAGCTGAAAAGTAAGAAAATGAACCTACTCTGTAAACTAGAATTTATCATTGGGGCTGAGAGACCTGATGTGGAACCTTAAAAGTAACTTCATCAGTCTTCTTTTCATTATGTGTATTTTTAAGGTTCCTTTCTGATTACATAAATTAGAAGTGACTTCTACAAATCTACAAGAGATGTGCTGCATACCTTTCTCAGTACAGCACATGGCAGCCTTTGAAACAGCCCAGTGCCAAATTATGTAGAATGCACAGGGCAAAATATACAGAGTAAAAACGACTGAACATTCACAGTTATATTTCCAAGAAGTAACACTCTCCCTGCTCAGTTCATGGCCATGAACCCCAGGTACTCTCACAAGAATTCTGCTGATGTGTGAATATTTTCCCCCTTAATCACTGACAGTGGTTCGTCTACTACCAAGTAAAACAGAACATAAAACCTACAATTGTACATGTGTGAATTTCCTGATCTCTAGCCCTTAGAAAGCAAGATAAAGTCCACAGTCCTCCTGGCTACTGTGGCCTCCAGAGTGTTTGCAGGCTGCTCTAAGGAGAACCACTTTTTAAAAAAAACTATGGCTCTGAGGAAATGAAGCCAAGGAATATCACGTTATACAAGAGGTCAGATATTGTCCTCAAAACCAGTGTGTGCAGCAGTGCAGAGATGCCACTTGGTGCCACCAGATCAAACAGACTCAGGAATAAGTGATGGCTCTCCAAAGGCTGTCAGTTGTAATAACAGCACGTTGTGACTCTGCCAAAAGCCTTTCCAGCTGCTGACTCATGTTGCCAAAAGAACTGGTACCACCAAGCTGAATATGATATATAAGATACCTGCATCCCACCCCTGCCAAAGCTAAAAACAGCCATGGGACTCTGAAAAACTGGATGCCTCCATGTGCAGCTGAGGAAGACACGGCTGTGTTTGGTCCAAGCCATGTGTAGCGATGAGCGATGGGTTTAACCTGCTTTTCTTCTGTGCTCTTGCTCACATCTTTTGTTTACATGAACCATCACATGCTGAGGTTGTTGGTGTGGCCTGTTAGTCTTGTATCCTTAATGATTTTTCTAGATGCTCAGAAAAGGGCATCCACACGTAATGGTGGATTTCAAGAGGAGCAATACCATTGACACAACCTCAGTCTTTTTCCTTTGGTCCTTTCTCAGACATATCCAGTCAGGACATAAACTTGTGGGTATCAAACCAAGTGGGGTTTTTTCAGGATGAATAAGGAAATAATCACCTGGGAGAGGGTACAGACTTTGTCTACTCTTTCTGGCAGCCTTCTTCCCTTACTGCTGGAGTGGCAACAGTCCTGGCTGCTCACATCCATGATTTGTAGCTTAAATAATATAAAAAAGTGGTTGCACAGGGGTCCTACTCAAATCAAACCACGAGCTCCTCAGAGGCTCAGTTTTCCCCCAGTGGAGCTTCTCCTCCTCCCCCGACAAAGCCTGAAGGCATAATTCCTGCTTTGGTCCAGCCCGAGGGAGCAGTGCCAGCACCCAGCACTGCTCCAGCAGCCTCCTCATTTCTCAAAGTATTTCCACACTTTTTCCATGTCTGTTCTGAAATTACAACTTTTGCCAAAAAATCTATTTATTATTGTTTGTCTGTGGAGAAGTGTTTGGGCTATCAACAGCTAATACTGGTGCTCTGGCAGAAAAGAGGGATAATTACAATTCCTCTTCAAATAAATGATATTTCCTTCCTGCTAAAGATGCAGGATGCTTTACACCTTTTAACAACCTCAAGTAATCATTTTCTAGGGCAGAACAGAAAATCCATTTCTATTAGTTTCCAAAGACCTTGAAAGTATGTATGTAAGAAGACCACTTCCATAAATTCACCTTTTTAGAGTCACTGGGTAACACAGAATTTATGCAAGTGCAGGTCAGTCACATAATTCAGTATTTATATGCTGCCTTTCAAGCTCCAGGGAACTGGAGTAAAATGCTAAAAATAAAATACATATGTTGTAATACACACAAGATTTAGAGATGGAACTATTCTGACAGTTCAAAATAAAAGGCTTTGTGGATAAGATCTCTATGGCTAGATCTGCACCTAAATCATGTATTGATTTAACTCACTGTAGACAAGTTATATAAGTTTTGGAATGATATATGGTTGATCAATGTGTTTTAGAAATTAATCTCTGTCAGACTTCATCATTTAGGCAAGTAAAGAAGTCAGATAAATATCACTACATTTTACTTTATAGGACAGTAAGCCAATTTCTAATCAAATTTGTAAGTAAACAACATTATTTGTTTCCAAGAAATATCAATATTAAAATACTTTTCAAAGAAAACTTGAAAACAGACTTTAAAAAATGAATAATTGTTATCTATTAAACACACACAGAATATTGATACATGAGTACACAAACATGATGATCAGAGACACAGAGGAGAACGAAATACCCCTTTGTAACATCCAGGGAAGGAGAGACCCAGCACCACACACAAAAAAAGTAAAAAATGGATTTGGAGTCTCAGCCAGATGAAAGTTTCATGTGTTTGATATTTTAATTCCTCACTGGAGTGCAGGAGCAATGCCCCACTTACTGCAAACGCACCAACCCTAATAAGGTAGGGAGAAACAAATGCTTAGACCTAGACAAGCAGGCCTCTCAGGGTTTTAAAACAGAGAACATATTCTCAGGGTAGAGATAGGGAAATAGAGGCAAAATAACCCTCTGCAAGGCACAAGGCAAGTTGAGGTACAAAGGCCAAGAGTACAGGCTTTTATTTGAATGCCAAATCTGCTAGCGCAAACCTCCTTTCTTAACTGTATTATTGCTCAAATCCCATTGATCCCAGTGGGAGCCCAAGGACTGTTTCTGACCTGGCTTAGTGCTGAGTCAGTCATGAACAAGTTCCTCAGCTTTTCTTGTGTCCCAGCATGATTTTGGGGCAGTCCAACCAGACGGTGAAAAGCTGACTCCCTGTCGCAGATTCTCTGGGTGGCCTCAGCAATAAAAAACCCCACAGTGTAACACCAATTCGTGGGTCACTCCTGGCAGCACAAAAACAAGCTCTGCTCCCAGCAGAGAATGAACCTCATTCTCCTCAGCACAGACCCATGACCAAGTACACACTGATACACCTCAAGCCACAAGCACAGGAAAAAAAATCACAAAAAGACAAAACACAAAAGGGCACAACAGGTTGCTGCAGCCTCAGGGGACTCCCTGGAAATCCAAACAGTCAAACAAGGAGGGAAGCCACTTACCGTACAGGACTGCAATGAGCGACACGGGCATGACCAGGATACCCACCAGCATGTCTGCCACTGCCAAGGACATCAGGAAGAAGTTTGTGGCATTCTGCAACTTCTTCTCCAAGGACACAGCCATAATTACCAATATGTTCCCCCCAATGGTCAGCAGGATGACAACCAAGATCAGGAGGGCTGGCCAATTCTTCTCCCTCACGGACATCCGAGAGACTTCGCCCTTCTCAGAGGCGTTGAGAGGATCAGATGTGGGCAAACTCTGATTCAGAGTCAAATTGCTGCTTAAGGACCAAGCCATCAGACCACCATGCAAACTAAAATCCAGTGTGACAGACACTGTCGTTAAGCTGAGCAATATTCCAGTGCTACTTAAAGTGCTCATTGTCTGGGACTGGTTTTTGTGTCTCTTAACCGTGCTTCAGAGACGAGCCCTTTTCCAAATTGCAGGTCCAAGGCAGATGCCGAACATCACAAAACCTGAGCCAGAAAATCATTTGATCTCCCATAGTGAAATAAACCTTACATAAGTTAGCGTGGAGCTCTTCTAGTTTCCTTGGGTGTGGTAGATGACAACCATTGACCAGCAACCTCGAGGGAAAGCAGACTTTGCAATCTCCAGCTTGTTTCCAAGTTCACCATTCTGAAAAGTCAATAAAAAGGATATTCTTCACTGAAATCACAGCATACACAACTGTATCCCCCATGCAACTGACATTCTTATTCTTCCCCTTCCTGCTGACTAGGATGTTCTCCAGACTGCAAGTAATTTATCTGAAGGGTACAGACTACGTCTACAATTGGGGGGGGGCAGAGAGGGAGAGAATCACATCAGTGTGCTCTGGCTGGTTAAAAGCTGATTATCACTAATTAAGTGTTTTGTGAAACCTGCGAAAGCGAGTCTGAAGAGCAAAATATGTTTCAATTGATAGCCACTTCACAGATACTCTGCTGCTGTGTAAAATAGTGATTGCATGAAATTCCAACCAATCCAGATACCATGGCCAAGCACAGAGTATTCCATTACTGAAAATGGGGGGGATTGTATATATTTTGCATATTCTGAGGTAAAATGAAGGTGTGGTAAAAACCTCAGATGTTAATGATTAACTCTCCTACAATAATAAATACTATAGTTTGGTTTCTATCAGGGTGTGAATGGTGGACAGGAAGCAACATGTATTAGGCAACATTAGGTGGTGCTTTGCTGTAAATCCCCTGAAACAAACAGACAACAAAGCATTAAGAGAAAAGAAAGGACAGACTTTCATAAAAGTTGAGCAGTAATTTCAGTAAGCCTAGTCCCACCAGCCTGCTGCCCAAGACTGCTGCCCAGCACGTGCGTGCGGTGCCAACACCCTCAGCACACACAACCTGGAGGACAGACTTCCTCAGAGGATCTCACATGATTTCTGACAGTGAGGGCAAGTCTGATTACAACCCCTGAGTGCTCACAGAACACAGGCCAGAGAATATCCTGCCTCTGAAGCCCCTTAGCCTCCTGCACAGAGCTAATTGGGCAAGTTAAAGGTACCCTTGACTTCAGGCACGTGCCTAAACCCACTGAAGCTAAGGGGATGTTTTCCTAATCCTGGCTAAATCACATCCTCAGAAACTCAATCTTTTTGACTGCCAATCCTGTACAACTGATGAAAAACAGCAGCTCTGCTTTGCATTTCCACTGCATTGGAGTCAAGACCCTAAAAACCATGTGCAGCACAGGGCTAAAATCACAGAAGGAAAGCACAGTGTAGTAGAACAATGTATGGAAGCCAACTGGTAAGTAGAATAAAACCAATAGCATGCAACTTATTTTAAGCATGTCCTCAACTTTATGTTTAATCCACAGGAAAAGAGTTTCTATCACTGTTAAATAAATTACTAAATAAAAGCCTGATTTTAGCTGTTGAATGCAATGTGGCACACATGTGACACAGCAATTTGCTATCCAGGATCAAAAGCTGAAAGTAATTCATGGGATTACATTAGGTTTTATGTAATGTAAGAAGTGCTCAGAGTCCTATAATAAAATGTTTAACATTCATGAAGGTTTTGGAAACTTGCTAATGGGCTTTGTGCACAAAAACATTTCTTAAATGAGCAGTGCATACAATGAACCCAGATTTGCTTCTGCATTATGGTTAATTAGTCCCAGAGGGTCTCTAAACCTCATATTTAGGAAGAAGTTTTGCACTATGGGCACAAAAAGTAATTTTGCAGCTGCACATTGCAGATGAATTAGCAAGTGGTCAGTGGACCATTTATTTTTTCCAACTTAGCTGGTCTCAGAAAAAAAAAAGTCTCTAGAAAGTTTCTAAATACTTTAGAGTATTTTTCCCAGAAGATAGCTTTTACTTTAAAGCTGTGATGGCAATTTTTCCAAATCACCTTTCCACAGTGAAGGAGACACCAGGCAGCTTTCTGGCACTTGAGCTTTGCTGTGCAGGACACCTCCATTAGAGCCAGAGGGAATTTCTGGGTCTTCTAAAGCTCCCTGTGGCTCCGTGACTCTCGAGCCCTCTTTGACAAGACAGAAATGTCATGCCCAAACATGAGGGCACAGTCAGACAGCAGGATGCCCAGTCTTGGTCTTACTTCTTTCCCAGGTCTGAGCTCCTGCTGAGCTCCAGACTTCCAGGAGCTCAGCATCACCTGAGAAGGTGATGCTACCTCAGCTCTTACCAGAGATGTGGATGAGCTTGATGCTCCTGGCACAGGCCAGCTGGGGCTGCCAAAGGAACAAAGGCAGGGCATGCCTTAACTCTAAATCATAAAAACAAACAAATAAACAACCCCCCCCACAAAACCACACCACAAAAAAAAACAAACCAAACCAAACAAAAAACAAACAAACAAACAAAAAAAACCAAAACAAAACAAAACAAAAAAACCAACACAACACCAACTGCAAGATAAGGTTTTTGAATTAAAAGTGCCTATTTTTAAAAGTGTCTATTTTTACAACTGCTCAGGACTGAATTCTGAAATGGTTATTCTCTCTTGCATTTTGCATATTCATTTTGAAAAATCATATGTGCGAATTTGACTACAGCAATGCTCAAGACTGGGCTCCACCCTCAGAATTAACTGTCCTACTGCTTTGCTAATACTTTTGTTATTATCTTACACAGATCCTGGCTTGAAGTCATCAGTTTTCTTTTTCACTGCATCTCCCAGTCTCCACAAGGGAAAACTTTATGACTTATTCCTTCAGCTACAGTCTTCTAAGCACATCACTGTACCAGAAAAATAATTCACATTTTATTCATGAATTCTGCATTTATTTGAGAACTATCTCCATAATTTTAAATTAAAACATGTGCCCATCAGAGATTTTTTTCCAATAGCTAACTTCAAAGCACACATACTGAATTTTGTGGTCAGTCATCAATTCCAGTTCAATCTACTACTGACAGTCCTTAAAATTATAATTTAAACATTCAGCAAAACCAAGTTCTTTTCTATTCCACTCTTGCTTTTTGATAGAGCAGCGTAATGAATTCTTTCAGCACATTCTTCTCCTTCAGTCTTTAAGCACAGTTTAAAATAAACTGAAGGTAGAAAAACATTTTTGTTTATCAATAAACACATGAATTATTTAAATCAGAGTTTGGTATGCTGAAGTTTTCAGGTATTCCAGGGGGTTAAGGCAAAGGGAAACAAAAGCTGCAATGGTTCATCAGTCTGTACTGGTGGGACCCTGAGGGAAGGGGTCACATGCCTTTGTGTGTGTTTACCACCATTACACTTGCTAAACAGAAAAAAACCAAAGCTTTCTTGGAATAAACACAATTATTTTTTCCTCTGAATTAAATGCATTCATCTTTAGTTGTTTTACCCTTCAAAACTCAGGACATTTTTTCCTGGAGAAAATCAGCTGCCTGCTGAGAACTCAAGAGGTTCCCCAGCCAGGATCCTGCCTCTCCTGGACAGGCTGCAGAGCTCCTGGAAACCATTTAATAAATCTCTGGGACTCACACCCTGTATGTTAACAAGGTGCATTTGAAACTGGGTAAGAAAGCAAGGATTTTCAGGTTAGACCACAAAAAAGATCCTGAGTCTCAGACGGACTGAGAATGATTCATTAATTCATGGTAAGTCTTGCTGTAAAAAAAAAACAAAAACCAACCCCCAAAGTACTTAATGATCAAAAGCGATGACTTTCAGCAATTCCTTCCCCACAAGAAAAACAAGCAACATCCAATGGCATCAAAGCTACAAAGGCCACATCCAAGAGCTATTTTTTTCCCTCCCAAACTATTGGCAATATCCAGTTCTCCAAGTCGCACTCACACCTCATCAATAAGCAGACGAAAGCCAACAAGTTGTTAGAGATCAAACAGTTTTAAAGGAAAAGTTTTTCCTTCAGCCTTGGCTTTGATGGTAGACCTCCATCAGGGAAAAAATAAATCTGAAGGTGACTAAACTGAACTGCAAGTACTGCAATTTTTGTCAGGAAAACAGTTGCAGATAGTTCGCAACTCTCCGAGCCAGACAGTCAGCTGACATAAATTTTTATAGCTCCATGAAGGCCTTTTCAAAATGGCAAATAATTTTAAATTATATAATAGGATACAGGGTTTAGGCTCAAGAAGGCAGATTTAAGGTTTCATTCTTCACTCAAAACTCTACTTTTCTTGCTATTTGCATCTTTACTAATTTATTTGTGGAATCCATTGCCAAATTCATTTCCATTTTTCTTTGGAACAGAAGGTTGCTTTAAAATACATCTTTTCATGGCAAACTTGCAAGGAGCCTTTTCATTTTAGTGATTGAATAAAATCATATTTTTCTATGTACAGAATTCTGTATTTTAGGCAGGTTTTTTTTAGCAGTACTAAGAAACATCCCTATTTCTGTGCAGTTCTATTTTTAAACAGTGTGTGAGAATGGAGCAAGTCCAACGGAGATGACCAAGGTGATTTGGACTGAAGCACATTAAATACTGGGTTTGGTTCAGCCCAGAGAAAAACAGTTGAACAGGGATGTGTTTGCATACAGCTCCCTGCCAGTGCTTACAGAGGAGACAGGGAGACTCTTCCAGAAGCTGCACGGCAAAACAAGAAGCAATTGTCACAGTGATAGATCTAAGGAAATCATGTATAAAACAGGAAGAAAACAGATAAAAGGAGTCACAGTGGGAAGGGTCAGACAAGGGAAGTGGGTCATGGAGAGACTGCAGGATCTCCATCCTTGGAGATGCTCAAAACACAGCTGGGGATTGCTCCCAAACACCCCATCTAACTTTGAAGTTAGTTCTGCCTCGAGCACGGGGTTGGACTAGGGACCTCCAAGAGGTCCCTTCCAGCTTAAATCATTCTATAACTGGATCAGAAATGTGCTAATGAGCAAAGCTGTCCAGCCTGGGGGTGCTTTCGAGCTCCTGTCCCTGGATACACCCCCTGTGTTTGTCCCTATTGCTCATGTGCAGGATAAGACCAGCACATCCTCTCCCCTTTGGTTTCCCTGAGGCCAGAAATAAATCTGCATGCCCAGATGGGAAAACACACCTGTGAGGACCCCAGCCTGCCTGATGTGGGTCTACACCAAAACACAGTCCTGTCACACCAGAGAGATGCACACACCAGTGAAAAATCCTCACCTTTGACCACCTCCTGAGGCCACCTATAGTTCAAGAATATT